TGATTTTTTTTTTCCAGGGCGCTATTTTTTTAAGGTTTAAATCATCTTAAAAACAGCAGCGCTGCAAGATTAGGCAGTCTTTTATTTGAACCGTTCTTCTTGAATCCTGAGCAATTTGGAGAGTCTCCTACTTGAGCAATTACTTAACAGGAGGAATCAACACCGATCCATGTTGACTGACAGGTTCCTCTGGGAGATTTCTGCTTCTCCCAGCCCCAGACCACCTGTCAGTGCGATGGGCTCGCTACAGACGGTGCTCTGAACCTACAGGCAAAGCCTGAGGGTACACTCCACGTTAATTAGACAACTTCGTTACTCATTCTCTCTCTCATTTATATATTTATTTATTTTGAAAAAGAAGGGCTGTAAAGGGCTCTGACCCAATATTGAGTCTCTACGCCGTCCAGCCCTGCACTTGGCAGCGACACGAGTCCAGCCAAAAGGACGGGGAGAGAGATGAAGGGGTGGTGAGAGGCAGCGCGTGGTTCTTCAGGGATGCTGGTGCTGCAATAGCCTCAGCACAGTGGCGAGGAAATTGTCTTCTCCTCAGGGGAGAGGCTTCCTCGCCTGGCCTTGATTCTGAACCCACACAGTGTTGTGTTCTATTAGCTGGATCTGATCCCTGAGTGGGTTGGGGTTTTTTTTGTTCCTTTTTGTTGTTTAGATGCTATATTTTATGTTCATTTAATTAAAAGGAGGGGAAAAAAAAGGAAAAATGGAAAAGGTAACACTGGGGCTGGAGGCAGAGGACACTGACATGGATTATGTCATGAAGGATATAATCTTTTGCCAAACTGAGACAAAGCCAGTGATTCCAAGCCAAAAACAAAAGCAAAAAAAGTGAGATCTCTTCCCAGCACTCCCACATGCTGCACCTTTATTAAATCCATCTTTCTCTCCCTTATCTAGAATTGCGTGGAAATTGAGAAAAGGGGACTCAAGGGTTTCTTATGGAGATCTCTTACCTCAGAGTATTTCATAATGAAAATGTAGTGAGCTGATATGGAATACCTTTTAAGAGAAATTTGCGACTGTTTTGAATATTTATGTACCCATGTCTCTGTGTGTGTATGTGTGTATATATAGCTATGAGCAGTGAATTACACTTTTTATTATACACAGCAAAGGAATTCTTCTTAAGGACTCATGATCTTTGTATGTTTTTTTTTTCTTTTCTGACAGAAGGTTGGTTTGTTCATTCACTCCTCCTATTACATCTGAAAAAAGCAGTACATCTGCAATATCCTTTTTTCCTCCTGATGCCACAGCGCTACACATTCACCCTTTCCCCTTCGTTTGTCAGAGATAATGCCCGTAAGTCAAATTCTGATCTCAAAGTAAATCTGGAGGAACTTATAAAAGAGATTTACAGTGAGAAAAAAAAAGAATGGCACTTTTGATCCAAAGGTGGCTTATGGCACTTGTGAATCCAGCCGTGGCAGTAGGTGTTTGCGTGCTGACTGACACAGTGTCGGAGAACTGAACTGAAGCTGGAACTTGCTTAGGGGCTTTAGTTCCAGTATTTCATTTTTTTGCTCTGACAGCTTTTAAAAAAATGCCGTGTAAGACCAGGAAGCTATGTGACTTTCAGCCATATCCCCTAATCAGATTCAGAATGCTTTAAATATCACTGTAAAGTGTGAAATCTCCTCTGGGCTGCTGTTCTTCCTTTGGCAGTGTTTCCACTGGAAGCCTGCCACCTGCACGACACAAAAATAGGAAACCCAAACTCTGGCCAGATTTTAATGCTTTAAAACAACTCCTAAAAGAGAGAGCATCAGTGAAGGTGAAAAGCAAGCAAGAGAAGAGTGAGACATGACAGAAATTAGAGGATGAAGCAGGCAGAATAAGCAGTACAAAAGACGAGCTAGAAAGATGTAATGAGAAGGAGGAAAAGAAAACAGGAAGCAGGATGGAGGAACACATAAAGAGAAACAAGAAAAGGGGAAAAAAAAAACACAACAAGGAAGATGACATTTAGAGAGAGTGAAAGAGGGAGCAAAGTAGGAGGGATAAAGGCAGATGATGAAATCGAGGAGCAGACCTGAACAGATAGGTTGAGAGCAGGCTATTTTTTTTCTCTCCTGTAGCCCTGAGGGAGCGTGGCTTGCTAATCAAGGTATGTATGTGTTCACCCCTGTAACCAGCTAGATCTTATGCTGATGTCAGCAAGAGCTGGCAGCTGAAGACAGAGGTTGTTTCTGTTTAAATGAGCCTCTGCAATGCATACCTATTCCTCCTCGGGGGGCTCTGGCTTTGCCCAAATGGATCCTCCTTGGCACAGGATGTACTGGACCCTACCTCAGTTCACCCTGATGGGACCAGCCAGGGAAACATTTAGCCCCAAATTTAAATAGTTGATAATGGCAGCTTCACTCCAGTTCCTTTAACCCCACGAGATCTAAATTCACAGAGAGCCTTGCCTCCCTCTGCTCCCTTTATAGATGGTTCAAAGCAAGACCCCAGCTTTGCCACTGTGAACCGTTTGCCCTGGAGAAGCCAATTTTTCACCATTTGTTAGGAGGGAAACTTCCGCTGGCTCCTCAAGTCCAGACATGGGGTGTGTGAACGCCTTTCCAGCATCTGAAGCCATCGCCTGATGTACCTTCAATCTAGCATTCACAGGCAGTTTTTCGCACACCTTTCCTGGGGGAGGTATGATAGAAGAATTAAGTATCAGTATTATTTATTAACATTCTTTAGAGACGTATCCGAGATGAATTACCATCTTCAGTCTAAAAGACTGTCATGTGTGCCACTGTGCCTGGGAATCTCAGCAAAAGGGCCAGAAATATTTAATGAGTGTTGAGAATGTTCTTTTACTCCTAGCAGCGATCCTTCACACCTCAGATTACCTCCGAGAGAGGCTGAATGGAAAAAGTAGGGAAAATTCTACTTTAAGAGTTTTCTGTGATGAAGCAGAGGACTTACAGATACTATAGAGCTGAACATTTGTTGTCTTTTAAATTCACCACAAAATCTGCAAGGATAAAAAGGCTGGGCCCAAACCAGGAGAGTGAATGGGAAGTAGGCAGTAAATGAAATGATTATTTGATAATTACCAAGCATCTGAAATTAAGTGGTTTGGTAATTTCATTTCAGTCCATAGAGGACAAATCTAAAAAATGACCGCTGTTGGTCAAATTTTTCATGATCCTACACGCACAACTACTGCTGCTGCATTATAACCTGCAAACGTTCTGTGTACAGTCCTGTGTCTTACGTGTTTTGAGCCAAATTTGCACAAACATACAGTCAAATTATGGCCCTAGAAAGACTCCTGGACTTATTCACCATTGTGTTACTCCAGGTTCACGACAGAATACCCCTGCTGATGTCAGGGCCATTCTACCTGTGTGAAACCTGAAGGATATGGTGGTGAACCAAGTCTCAGGAATGCAATAGTTCCCTAAAAATTATATAATGTGCTTAGGTCAGGCTCATACATGCAAGTAAGTGCAAACCCTTTTAAAACATGTTTTAGGCTCTCTGATGTTATGATGTACTCTAGATGTGGTCCCTCCCTGTCCCAGCCCTTTCTAAAGTAGAATTTTGGTCTCCTGCCTCCACACACCAGTAAGAGCAGCGTGGACTGCCAGAAGCCACCGACACGTTTTTGATAGCTTGGGCTGATCCCGAGGCTGAGCAAACACAGGCAGTTTTTTTCCAACGCAGTAGTGTATAGAAGCCCAGACGGGATTCCAGCCTCATTATAACAAGCATGTTAAAAAACCTCACCAAACAAATTGCCATGAATTGATTTAATTGTGTTGATTTTATTGTATCAGTGCAACCCAAGCACAACAGATACACTGTACTGGAATAACGTGCATTTGTTCCAGAGCAATTTTATACTTACGTACTTTTCCTTTTTATAAATAGGGATTAAAAGGTGGTTTATCTACAATATAATGATCATCATCTTTACGGAGAGTTTTTTACACTGAAGCAGTGATAAAGTGATTACTTAATTGCTCAAGATGCTGGTAATGCAGCAACTGGCATAGGTTTGATGTGCGCAACAATGGTTCAAGTATTGACTAAATGGCAAGTCTTCATATGGATTTACACAGCAACAGCCTATTGTTAAATAACCTCATACAAGAACACATTTTTTCGGGAACAACTGTAATTTTCTGTGCAGCAAGAATTTTCAAGCAAAAAGATATTTAGGAATTGCTACCATCCCCTTTCACATCCTCTTTAATATGAATAAACTTTTAACTGAGAAGTCATGCATGCCAGAACATTTAAACCGTAAGATGTTGAAAATATTATTAGATCTTTAACTTCCACAAAGCTATCAGCATAATATCATCTTCAATATCATAATCATACCATAAGCATTTCCCTAGTACAGTACTATAAAAATGTCATTTTTAAGATGAGACCAAACGCTAGCTAGAGTGACTGCTTGATGTACAGAGACAATGATATTGCCCATCCCTTCTGTGTTAAAGATGTGTTTACTTTAGCTCAGCTGAATTAAAATAGGGTGCAAATAACTATTCCAGAACAACTGTATTTCTAAATGAAATCAAACTTAAAACTAAAGGAATTAAAAATGAAGGTTCGTTCATCCCCTTTCTTTCCCTGAAGCACTCTTTTAAAGACTGCCAATTAATACTGATGCCATCAATTTTGTCAGACTATCTAGGTCATGTCCCATACAAATATTTAGCAGAGACGGATGAGTTTTCTGCCACCGTTTCAGTTGCAGAGATGACACGGGATGGCTTGGTGCTTTCACTGATGTTCTCCTATTTGAGGACAGAAAAAGGTGTGAGGGAAAAAGGCCTTTCTTCCCTCTTCAGCGTTACTCAAGAAAAAATCCATCCTTGCACAAATGCACAGGCACCATGGGTAGCACCACATGGAGGGCACCATGACCCATCCACCTGAACTTTTGAATGCACCATCCCAATCACCTTTCAGCTCCCAAAATAAGGGTTAGTTGGGAGTTCAGTGGGAAACAGGCCCAACGCTGCTGGGAAAACACCATGATCTTTAAGCACAGTGGTTTGGGTGATGGCCATGCAGCAGAAGGTCTGGAACGCGACAACCAGAAAGATTACTCGCCTGTTAGGGATAACATTTGTGGCTGGCAGTTGCAATTCCCCCTGCTGATTAGAAACAGTTCTCTCCAAGAATGGTTCCTGCGGGATTACAACACATCCCAGCATTTTGTAACCATCAGTGGAAGTTCTGTTTTGCTTCTCACAATTGGTATGGACAAAGTAGGCTGCGACAGAGGAAAGGTCAAGAGCAAGAGGTTGTTTCAAAATAATTGCTTTCTGAAAGTGGGGAAAGAATATGTTTATTTATACAGTAGAGAGAGTGTACTGTGGAAAAGGGCACAAGGAGACAGGTTTCTCCACTGCTTCCTGTCTAAAGATTTCATGTAGCATAAGGTTCAAGCGCAGGTGAGTCATCTCATGTAATTCTGTAATTTTAAAGGGTAGACGTCCAGTTCTGGACTATTGGTGCAAAGCTCTTTTTATAGTCAATGGAGAGAAACGGTCCCTGTCGGAGAGAAAATCATGTGCCTGTTTTAGCATCAGAT